ATTATCGCACCGGGGGTCAATCGTTCGAGTCTTTTATAGCTCGGTTTTTTCTGAATCACATCCTGACACTCTTGTCATGATAATTAATTAACAAAATGATAGAAGAAAAATACTAGACATGGACATCATCATCACTCAACTGTGAATTTTTACGAATCTCGAGTCAATGGCACATCGAGTTTAGGAATTTCGGGAGAATTCCGTATTAAATTTTGCGAATAGAGTGATTTAGTCCTGGGAAAAGGCTTTGATGAGATAATCTTTAAAAAGAATTTCTAGAGTAAAATGAGATTCTATTCCGGGAGAAAAAATGTAAAAGCCAAAGTCTCTTCACGCCAGAGTTCGTTGACCTCTTAAGGGCCTTCAAAGCCTTTCAAACTTAGCTGAATATATAATTTCAGTGATTCTACCATCACCGATTTCTATTCATAGCTCATTTTTCGGTAGTCGAAAGAGTTCTCACAACTAGTGGTCAATCGAGCCAATTTATCAATTTCACGAGTATTAATCTCACACTTCGCTGTTTTAATTTTCACTACGTCATTCCAGTGTTCATTCCTTCTGAATGTGATTACTCAAACAATAATTAACGATTAAAAGCTGTTCCATTGAAACGATCGAATTATCATGGGAAATTAACGAGTTCTCCATAATCATTGTTAGCAGTGATGTTAGACGATCGTTCATTAAGTGCATGAAGCTGAACTAGAGGGTTGAGAGGATCACAGAGGTTTAAGATACTATTTAGAGGCTAAGGTACTTGGAAAAATCGAAAGGAGAAAAATCCTCGGTCGCAAGAACTGTTCGAACCAGTTTTTCTATAACTGAATGCGTTTTTTTTGGGTTTTCCCTTTCGATTTGTTCCGTGGGTAAAAATTTAGAAAATATCTAGATTAAATGATAAAATGTTGAATTTACCGAGTGTCAGGATTTAAAAAACAAGATTGGTGGTAATTTTTTGGGGTAAATTCATCGAATGGATGCAGCCTAATTCTATTCCAGTATGAAATCAAATTATTGTTCTATAATTGTCAATCTAGTTCTCAACTCTGGAATAATTTTTAGGTACATAATTGTTCCTCGAAAATTACCACTCACGACATGTGTCGCACAAAATTTGATTACATTATTCAGCAATCATTATTCATTGGCGATTAATTAAGGGAAATAACCTGATGAACAGAAGCTTTTATTGACTGAGATTAGCATTCCAAATGTTTATTTATAATGATAAATAAGTGAAAAGCAACATTCCGAAATACAAAATAAATCAAATAACCAGATAAGTGTGTTTCTGCGAATCGAAATAGTTTGTGTTTTTTACAACAAATGAAAATATGTTCTTTCTTGTACTTACGAATTATTAAATACTATATTTATGTACTGTATATATGCATACTAATATATTACATATCAGAAATATTATTTCCATCTCGTGTATTTTTTTTTGTCCCAAAATTTTTATTCACCGTTATTATTGAAATTACTATTCGATCTAATGAATCGAATTGTAAACCTGATAC